CCCCCTCATCCTCACGTACCACCCCACCAACCTCCGGATCCAACGCATCATCCTCCGACACTTCCGCCATCTGCAATCCGACCCCACCACCAAAGACATCTTTCCCTCCCCACCTTTATCTGCTTTCCGGAGGGACAACTCTCTCCGTGACTCCCTTGTCCGCTCCACACTCCCCTCCAGCTCCACCACACCCGGCACTTTTCCCTGCAACCGCAGGAAGTGCTACACCTGCCCCCATACCTCCTCCCTCACCCCCATCCCAGGCCCCAAGAAGACTTTCCACATCAAGCAGATGTTCACCTGCACATCTGCCAATGTGGTATACTGCATCCGCTGTACCCGGTGTGGCTTCCTCTACATCGGGGAAACCAAGCGGAGACTCGGGGACCGCTTTGCAGAACACCTACGCTCGGTTCGCAACAAACAACTGCACCTCCCAGTCGCGAACCATTTCAACTCCCCCTCCCATTCCTCAGACGACATGTCCATCCTGGGCCTCCTGCAGTGCCACAACGATGCCACCCGAAGGTTGCAGGAACAGCAACTCATATTCCGCTTGGGAACCCTGCAGCCCAATGGTATCAATGTGGATTTCACAAGTTTCAAAATCTCCCCTCCCCCCACCGCATCCCAAAACCAGTCCAGCTCGTCCCTGCCTCCCTAACCTGTTCTTCCTCCCACCTATCCCCTCCTCCCACCTCAAGCCGCACCTCCATCTCCTACCGACCAACCTCATCCCGCCCCCTTGACCTGTCCGTCCTCCCTGGACTGACCTATCCCCTTCCTAACTCCCTACCTACACTCACCTTTACTGGCTCCATCCCCGCCTCTTCGACCTGTTTGTTTCCTCTCCACCTATCCTCTCCTCTATCCCTCTTCTATCCGCCTCCCACTCTCTCCCTATTTATTTCAAAACCCCCTTCCCCTCCCCCTTTTCTGATGAAGGGTCTAGGCCCGAAACGTCAGCCTCTCTGCTCCTATGATGCTGCTTGGCCTGCTGTGTTCATCCAGCCCTGCACCTTGTTGTTTAAGGTTTCAGGTCGATGACTTTTCATAGCCAATGGCTTTTCCATTTGTCTTTTTTTAACCTTGTTCACTTTCATTGCTTTCTATTTTCTTCTGTTTGATCAATTATCTATCAAAACTTGTTTTCATGTCCTTCCCATTTCTTTTTCCATAGATGCTGCCTGGCCTGTTGAGTATTTTCAATGTTTTCTGGTTTTATTCCAGTTTTTCATCCACAGTGTTTGGCTGTTGTTTTATCAGTTTGGAATTAGTCACAAATCAAATCTGAATTATTTAATTTGATTACCATCTATCCTCTGTGTACATTGAGCATTCAGACTAGCAGGATCTTAAAGTCTTATTGTAAGATTTGTGGCATTTCTTTTGATCGAGAATTTTTTTTCATGCTTTTCTACTTCTTAGTCTCACTTAGCTGGTCAAGAGAGCTTTTTATAAGGGATGTTCACTTATGATTTCCTGTATGGTATTCCCCAGTAAGCTCTCAGTACCTGGCCAAATATGGACTGGAGATTTTGTTCTTAAAGAAAATAAGTCAGTTTGTAATTAGTTTACATTCAAACTTGAAGAGGACAGGAACAGAGACTGGTCACATAAGACGCTGCACAGAGGTACGTGGCATTGACGATACCAGGCAGGTTTTCCTAAATACAAAGCTGTAAATCTTTTCCTATCACGGGTACTAGGTTTTGTTGCTTTGATAATACATCACCAGTTGAGTTCCATATGATAATGTGATCATTCTTTAGTAATTAAAATATATACTTTCCAGTTATTTTATCACTTAATACAATATGATAGGTCTTTAAGTTTGGGTTATTTGTTGTGATCAGAATTTCAGGCTTTCCATGTGTAGGTCAGGACTTAGTGTGCAAGATCAATATCAATAACAATTTTCATTTATATAGCTCCTTTAACATAGAGAAACATCGTAAGGTGCTAAACAAAGGTGTATTCAGACAAGAAATAGCTCCGAAGACAAAGATGGAAATATTAGAAAACCAAAATAGTGGTTTATATGTATTGGTCAGATTCAAGTGCATGTTATTTCATGTCTATAAATTAACCCCCAAAAATTTGTTTAGAACCTGTTATGCATAGGGTCCTGCTGCATGTATATCAGAATATGTATTCAGAAAGGGACCTACGGCCATTCCACCCAGTGTACTGTATAATTGATATAGCAACCATACAAGAAACTGAAATTAAGAAAAACAAAGTAGTGAAAAAGATGCTGCAGACATGGAACACTTTTATCTGTATGTTCTGGTTTCACACAAGCTCAGACAAATTGAATAAGATGAGTAACTCATCCCAGTTCACCGCCATCTCTTTGAGCAATTAAATGGTCTGTAAATTGTCAAACTGCTTGTCAATATATGAAACTGGATGAGTGTAAATTTCCTCCAATGAAACATTGGGAAGAACATAGCCATTATCTTCGGTTTTCAGCACACACTCTCTTCCCTAGCCAGTGACTCCTCTCCTCTCCTTAGCAATTGCCTGAGACTGAATCAGCTTGTTCACAGACATGGCGTTATATTTAACCCTAAAATAAAGTATAGACCAGCACGTCGGCTGCTGAAACATTCAGCCATGCTTTTGTTATCTTTAGATTTGACTACACCTACCCACCCTTAATCTGCCTTCCATGTTCCACCTTCTGTAAACTTGAGATTAGCCAAACCTCGGCAGCCTCATATACTAATTCACACCGTGGCTGAGATTTTATGGCATTGTCATGGGTCTCACCCACTTGCTGAAGAGTTGGCGAGACACCTGGGATGACTTCCTGCTCTTCCTTTCTCCATTCAGGCAGTCTGAAGGATAGGGCCTTTCTCCAAAATCAAGTCTCCAGAAGTGGAAATCCTGTTAAATCAGAACAACTAGCAAGTCAGAGGTTGACAACTCTCGTGCTTAGCAACACCGCTGTGAAAACTGTGGCTCCTCCCAGGAGGACACCCAACACCCAGTGGACCAACATGCCAGTTAAGTGCTTTTTGTGTGAGGGCAGGTATTGTGGTGTTGGTGGTCACAGAGAGTGGGGAAGTAAGGGCAGGAGTGTGACTTTTAGCAACTATCACCCCTGCTTAATGTTCAGTCCCTCGAATAACCCCTCCTGCCCTTGACTACACTGGTTTACAAGTTAGGTATGCTGACATTTTATTGTCTTGCTTAGAATGAAGGTAATTGCATTTCTGGTGCGAATGGCTTCTAAATTGGTCATTATTGGCCATTTTGTGGCTTCAGTCGATTGTGGAATGGGGTGATCTTGGGGCTTCCAGCTCAGAATTTAATACAGGCAGAGGTGAGAAATGACCATAGTTTGGGATGCCATTTTTCTACTTAATTATGTTGCCTTCCTGCATCCAGAACCATCACCTCCAGGAGCAGAAGATTTTGCCCCAGATCCCATTCACCTGTCATCTGGTGCTTGCTGACTTGCATTGTTAACTGGTTGAGCAATATTTTAACTATAAAATGCTCACATTTTGCCTAACGTTGCCTTTTGTGGCTCGGTGTCAGATTTTGCTTTGTAAGACTCTTATAATGCTTTTAAGTATGTTGCTACATTACAGGCATTTTATTTTGTTCTTTCGTGGGATGCAGAAAGACCTAGGGGTTCAGGTGCATAATTCTTTAAAATTTGCATCACAGGTAGAGAGGGTGGTTAAGAAGGCGTTTGGCACACTTGCCTTCATTGCTCAGACCTTTGAATATAGGAGTTGGGAAGTCATGTTGAGGTTGTACAGGACGTTGGTGAGGCCACTTGCGGAGTACCATGTACAGTTCTGGTCCCCCTGTGATAGGAAGGAGACTATTAAACCAGACAGGGTTCAGAAAAGATTTATTAGGATGTTGCCAGGATTGGATGGTTTCAGAAATAAAAATAGACTGGAAAGACTTGGACTTTTTTCACTGAAAGGTGACCTTATTGAGGTTTGTAAAATTATGAGGGACATAAATAAAGTGAGTGACAAGGGTCTTTTCTCTGGGGTAGGGGAGTTCAAATCTAGGGGGCATATGTTTAAGGTGAGAGGAGAAAGATTAAAAAGGACATGAGGGGCAATTTTTTTACACAGCAAATGGTTCGTGTGTGGAATAAACTGCTGGAGAAATTGGTGGATGCAGGTACAGTTATGTTTAAAAGACATTTGGATAAGTTCATGAATAGAAAAGGTTTGGAGGGATACGGGCCAAGCGCAGGCAGGTGGGACTAGTTTCGTTTGGGAACATGGTTGGCGTGGCCAGGTTGGACTGAAATATTTGTTTCCATGCTGTATGACTCTGTGTGGTTAGGCCAGCGTTTAATCCCTGTATCTATTGTCCTTGAGTTGCCTTCTTCACCCACTGCTGTGATTGTGATAAAGGTAGACCTACAATACTGTCAGGAGGGAGTTTCAAGATTTTTAAGATATAATCAAGTTGTGGTTACTGTTTTATATTATTGATGGTTGTAAATAGTTCCAGGTGAAATAAATGAGCCTTCTCAAGTATTTTTTATAGATTATAGATACACAAGAGGATTTTGTTGAAAATCAACTTTTAACCACAGCATTATAATGATTGATACTATCTTTGTGTTTTACAACTTCAGTTCAAACTGTATTTTCACCTAAGACAATTGTTAAAATGCTTTTACTGACTTTCCCCTGAAAGGACTCTGTTATTAGCGTTCTAATGACAACTTATCACTAGGCCTCGCCATCAGTGCCATTCCAAAGGTGGCAGTGAAGTGTCTTAAAGACAACCAAACAAACCTTTCTGATCTTTATCCATCCTATGAGCAACATCCAGAGCTTGCATATCAACTTTACAGGACAACTTGGCTTAGAATTCAAAGTATCAAAAAGTCACAAGAATAGTCCCTTATTCTACTGCTATGCAGCCTAACAGATAATGCTATAATTTACTGTACCTTCACGTGCCACTTTTTTGTTTATCTATCCATCCAATTGTAAATAGAAAATGAGTTTCCTGCTCGGTTGCTCTGTGCAATTTCAGGCAGGCCTCCCAAGCCCTATTTAAGTGAGAGTTCATATCTTAAAGTGAGTTTTCTGTCATCTTATCTTTCAATGTTATATGACTGAAAAGAGGTGAATCTCTGAAACGAGACTTAGAGATCCTCCTTGATCGAGATGACGGTGGGGGAGGTCAAGACAAGCAGAGTGCTAGTGTTTGCATTGAGAACAACCATTGAGCAGGCCTCAATACAAATTTCTGAGAGGGTCACCATCAAGAGCATCATTCCCAGAATCTGGTTTCAATGTTGAATGACGTTTGGTGGCCTCAGAGCAGCACAAGTTAACTGCAGCTATTTATCTCTGCATCTTTGGCAACATAGTGCAGTTAATAATCCCTTGATTTGAACTCTAAAAAGACAGTGTGTACGATTTGTGGCAGGTGGTAAAACGTCCTGACTTTGGCAGCATAAGGACAGGAAGATCTAAATTCCTGCGCTGTGTCTGCATAAGACCATCAGCCTTCTGCCCAGAACTGGTTGGATGTGGTAGCTGCTTCACTGGGAAAGAGTTAGGCAAAAGAAGGTGTCACTGGGGTCTGAAGAAATGATTCCCACCCCAGCACAGAACTACCTGACTAGTTGTGTTGCATGGTCAGGGAAGGAGGGAAGACAAGGGTAAAGGTGACTTTACTGGTGTTTCTGAACCCATAAGATAAGTTTTTACATAAAAAAATAACAATTTCCTTTCTGAGCATCTTCTGGACTTGACTATGTTGACCTGATGCCTTCAGTACCCAATATGCATCCTTAAAGAGCTTCTGGTAGAGGATTCTAGTACAGGTTAAAATAGGAATCAGTAGAATCTTGAAGTGATCTTAAGGAGCTGGCAAGGTTGTAGTTATCTCTTGCATGACCTACTCAGTAAAACTGTGTTTGTTGCCACTGCCACTGTAGGGTGCATACTCACCACCTGTGCATTTGCAGTGCCTGTGATGTCATTGCCAGTGACAGTGTAGTACTTGTGTAATGGCTATCACAACATTATTTTATATTGAGTGTATCAATAAATTTTCATCTGTAGATGCAACAGGCTGCATGGGCAATTTCCAGTTATATTGTCGTCCCAGTTAAATTGATGGCCTTTGTTGTCCGAGTGTACTGAAAAGAGGGAAAGTTCATCGTGTCATTTTGCTGCTAGCTGGTGTTCGTGTATCCTGATGGCTAGTTTCCTTCCAGTCTGGCCGATGTAATGTTTTTGGCAGTTCTTGCACGGTATTTTGTACATTATGTTGGTCCTGCATGTCGTGGGTATGGGGTCTTTGGTCCTTTTGAGCGTTTGTCGTAGTGTGGCAGTGGGTTTGTGTGCCATCCTGATTCCTAGTGGTCGTAGGAGCCTCGCTGTCAGTTCCGATATGTTCTTGACATACAATAGTGTGGCCAGTATATTAGAGTGTGTTGTGTCTTCTTGGTGTTGTCTATCTAGTAGGCATCTGCGGATGAAGTTGGTGGGGTATCCATTGATAGCAAAGACCTTGTATAGGTGCTCTTCCTCCTCCTTGCGAAGTTCCGGTATGTTGCAGTAGGCTACGGCCCATTTGAATAGTGTCCTTACACAGCTTTGTGTGGTCAGTGTGGGTTGCCTTCCTGTATACTGTGGTTTGGTTTTCCCTGTTTGTCATTTGTTCTACCCTGACACCTAGGAACAGAAATTGATTACAAAAACAAAGTTGCTGGAAAAGCTCAGCAGGTCTGGCAGCATCTGTGAAGGAAAAAAACAGAGTTAATGTTTTGGGTCTGGTGACCCATCCTCAGAACCGTTCTGAGGATAGTTCTTTGGCTAGTGGGACGTCAATGGATGTGAATAGCTCTGTAACGTCAAAGGATACCATAATCTCATCACCGTTGATTTTGATGTTCTTGAGGTTATTGAGGACTTCCTGGGTTGAGTGGATGGAGTGGGGTGATTCATCGACCAGGCGTTTCAGTCTCTGTTGTAGGTCCTTGGCTTGGCTAGCTTGTATGTAGGTGTGCTCAGTAGGGAGACAGTGGGTCTGAGGGGGATGTCTGGTTTGTGTACTTTTGGTGTAGAAGCGGTGGGGAGGGGGGAGGGGTGGTGTTTGAGCCTTCTGGTTTCATTTTTATGTCTTGGTTATTTATCCTGCATTCTTTAGTCTCTTCAGTGTCTCGGTGATCCTGTTTCCTAGCTGTGGTGTTGGGTCTATCTCCACCTGTTGGTAAGTGTCTGTATCTGCAAGCAGTGCCTGTGCTTTTTCAATGTAGCCTGGTTTGTTCATAATGACAGTCATGCACCCTTTTTCTGCTAGTAGGATTATGATGTTCCTGTCTGTCTTGAGTCCTTTTAAGTGCTTTTCTCTCTGATGTGTTTAGGGCATCCCGATCATTCCTCCGGTTCAATGCAGGGTTTATAGTCTGTCAGGTGGCCGGCTGAGTTTCGTCCGTGAGTCCATTGTTTTTTTAGTGTAGGTTCCAGAGCAGCCATGTCTTGGCCCATAGCGACGACCTGCAGGACCAATGTAGTGTACAAAATACCATGCAAGGACTGCGAAAAACATTACATTGGCCAGACAGGAAGGAAACTAACCATCAGGATACACAAATACCAGCTAACAGTGAAATAACACAACGAACTTTCCCTCGGGCAACAAAGGCCATCAATTTAACTGGGACGATGTGACCATCCTGGATCAGGTCAACCATTGACACTCACGGAAATTCCTAGAGGCCTGGTTCTCTACCAATAATGTAATCAATAAACATGTGGAATTAGACCCCATATACAAACCCTTACAAAAAAGAACTGGAAATGACACAAAACACCTCATATAAATACTCAACAGAGTAGAACAACATCGCTTCGTCAGAGGCTGCACTGATGATGTTACCTAGCATGATAATGAAACGTCTGTACGATAACCAGCCTGCTCAGTGAGCAAGTCAACAACCTCACCCAGAGCCCTAGCTACAAATCTTCGTAAGAACCTTGGTTTACTATTCTTTA